GAGGAAAACCCCCCTGCCATATTGGAGCATCAACTTAGATATGTGAGTGAGACATCATGCCGAAAGACTCATGAACTCTTTTTTTTTTTTTTTTTTTAGAGATTTTTGCTATAGGGCATTTGAGCTCTCCAGAGAGACAGAGAGAAATCACCACCTGGGGGAATAGCCAAGCCACAATCCCTTCTCCTCCATTTTCCTCTCAGAATCTTGAGTAAGTGTGCACACATGCCTGGTGTGAGTTTTAAGTCTCCAGGTCTGGTATTCTGGTTTTCGTTTTGTTTTGTTTTATAGGTTTTTGCTATAGGGCATGTGTGCTCGCCAGACAGACGGAGAGAGACAGAGAGACAGAAAGCAAGAAATCAGCCACCGGGGGATGGCCATGCCACAATCCCTTCTCCTCCATTCTCCTCTCGGGATCTTCGGCACACACACACATGTGCCCGGCGTGAGTTTTAAGCCACCGGGTCTGGGACGCGAACTGTGGTTGACTATACATGGGAGTCCAGTGACATAGCCATTACACTAACTGCTGGTCCCGAAGAAAGCAAGCCACCAGGTCTGGGACTCAAACCACGGTCAGCCATATGAGAGTCCAGTGGCCCTAACCACCACACCACCTGCCAGCTCTCCAGGTCTGGAATTTTAACAACAGTTCACTCTGTGGGAGTCCAGAGATGTAATGATTATGCCATCTGCTGGTCCTGCCCACTACCTCTTTGAATCTTTCAGATGACTGCAGCCCCAGTCAATGTCTTTACTTAAATCTCAAGAGGATCCCCAAGATAGAACCAATTAGCAAAATATCCACTAACAAAACTCTGGGAACTGATAAATGAATTTACTAAAAGTGCAAGATACAAAGGCATCATATGAAAATTAGCATTTCTATATAATAATAATTACCAAAGATTTCAAGAAAGCAGTACCATTTACAATAGCCACATAAACGTAAGATAAAATACCCAAGAATCAATTTAACCAGGAGGTGAACTATCTGTGCAAGAAAAACTATAAAACCACAATGAGGTATCATATCACTGCAGTTAGAATAAATGATTATTAACAAAACACACACACACACACACAAAATAAATAAATAAAAAACAAAGAATAACAAGTTCTGGCAAGGTTTTAGAAATAGGAGAACTCTCACGCACTGATGTTGGAAATAAAGGTTTGTACAGCCACTGTGGAAAACAGCATGATGAGTCCTCAAAAAAAAAAAAAAAAAAAAGAAATACTGCATGATCCAATGATCCCACTAGTGGATATAGTCTCCCCAGAAAGGAAATCAGTGTGGAAAAAAAGGCTTTTGTCATCCCACGTTTATTGCAGCATTATTCACAATAGCTAAGATATTGAATCAACCTAAGTGCCCAACAGCTGATAAATGGATAAGGAAAATGTGGTATATATATGCAATTACTATTATTCATATATAAAAAAGGAAACCTTGTCATTGGCGGTAGCATGGTAAAACCAGGAGGAAATAATGCTAAGTGAAATAAACCAGGCACTGAAAGACCAGCACCACACAGTCTTACCCATTACTGGAAGCTAAAAGATCCTACTACAGCGAAGCAGAGAGTGCAAAGGTAGATAGGAGGAGTAGGGAAGGGAGAGTGTATGGAGAAGGCCAGAAGTTGGTGAACGCATGCAAGAATGTAAGTAAATAAGGGGCATAAGTTACAGAGTACTCCAGCACAGTAACTAATGTATACTTCAAAATAGCTGGATGAGGATCTAGAATGTTCAAAATGCAAGTTAGTAATAAACATGTGAGACAGTGGGTTTGTTTATTTCATGATTTGATCATTACATTTTGCGTAAATATATTGAAAATATACCCCCAAAGTATGCATCCTTATTATATGTCTACTAAAAATTACAATGTAAAATGTGATAGCATACATTTCTTTGTTTATTCATTTACTATTTGTTGAACACCGACTGACTTCTTTATCAAAAAACTCACAATCAATCATGGGTATTAGTTATAGAAACAGAAAAATGCAATTTTAGAAACATGAAAAGCTTTTTTTTCTTTCTTTTTTTTAATTTGACC